AAAGTCCCAAGGAGTATTGTATAGTTGATTTATCGCTATTTGCCAAGACTGAACATAGTTTGGAATGGAGTTGGGAGAGCAAGTGAGTCATAAAACTGAATCTTTGATGTGTTGCGCTGAAGCCGCACTCCCAACACTGAAGCGCTTCTGAAGAAAGTCCAAAAGATCATGTGCAGTTCTCATAGGAAAGTTATATAAACCACCACGTGCCAGGGGAAGAGAATTCATAATCTCTGATGAAAGTTTCTCAGTGATGATGTACAAGCATATATTGTTATTCTGCCAGAAAACTTCATAAGCTCTAGACTCTGCAAGCATATGATGTGGCAGATATGCAGGTGGAAAGACCACACAACAAGTTGGATCAAATGGAGCATCAGGACCTGGAATTGGACAGACATGTCCATTTAACCCCATATGATCAATTAAAGCCATAACTGGATTAATCCAGGTACCCCAAGCTGCCACCAATGCAAAGCAAGGTATAGTCAAAAGGGGTGGGAGTTTAACATCCATAGAGACTGCCACAGGTATAGGGGGAGCATAATGATTTATGGCATGGGGAAACTGAGGTGGATTCTCAAAGGGTGCAGGAGGGATATTGGGAGGATGAATGAAGTGTGGACCTTGGATTCCAAAAACATCTTGCTCGACTGCCTGATTATATGAGGGAAGAGGAAAACCCTCAGCAACATAACCCAGAGGATGCACAATTTGTGAGGAAAATAATGGACAAGGAACTTCATTCATGGGAGCTTGTCGCAAAGGTTGAACAGGAATAGGTGTAAATCTATGTTGTAATGGTGGTGACTGGACATGATAATATGATTCTGATTCACCCGTGGAGGAGGAGGATGTTCAATTCAAGGTGTTGGAGGAGCCACAATGGAAGGGCCTATCCCTGCAGTGGGTGGCCACCCATTAGCCCATCACAAGGGGGAGCCACATGAATTGGCCCCTGTGGTAAACCTGGGATAAGAAAGACTGAAGGGGGACAAGACAGGGAAACATTATTCAGAATGATTGGAGTAGTCGATGGAACTGGAATGACAGTGGGATGTTGGTGCTGTGTAATAGGAGTTGGCAATAAAATCTGCAGTGGAATTGGTCGTCTGGATTTAGGATGATGAGGAGCATAAGAGAGTGTAGACCCAGATGCTGCCGAGATAGTAGGTGGGAATGGGGGTCAGCGATGAAAAACAGGCACAGGAATGCACAAAGGATGATGTGAAAGAAAAGAATTTGAATTAGAAGCAAGAGAGGAAGAGCCTGGGGTCAGTGGTCGAAAAGGATCTAAAGAAGTATGCAGAGTAAGAGAGACTTTGGAAGACTGATGAGAAGAGTTGGAGACCAGAGTGCGAGCTGAATCCAGAGGAAAAGTGGATATATGTGGTGGTAAGTCCCACTGGAAACCCATATGCATGGTAGATGAATCTGTGTTCAATGAATTTGACAATGTAGAGGACGTAGTCAAAGGAAAAGAAGTGGTATGAGGATTACCAGACATGATGCTAGTCACCAAGAAGAAGAACTGGCCAGAAGAAAAACCCAGGCAAGTAAGAAATATATGTGTCCCAGGCTGCTCAGAAAGTTGCGACTATCCTTAAAGGACGCCCATAACCTGTTGGACTACGACTGTAGCAGTTACCAGGAGCTAATAATATAATAAGGATCCTCAGAGCTCGTCCCAGATGAGAGAGAACAGCTATTAATTCATACCTAATAATATAATTATTGTGCCGTACCTAGACAATATTACAAGGAATGTCTCCTCAGTGCAAGCCAAGTGGCTAAGAACAACTGTATTACCTAGACAATATTACAAGGAATGTCTAGAGTAAAGTATGAGACAGAATAGAGACAAATGATAATGATGACTTACCTCCTCAGTGCAAGCCAAGTGGCTAAGAACAACTGAGGAGGTAAATACGGTCAATCGAACTATGAGTCCATGGGCACGTGACTATATCGGTGGTGAACCTAATGGGACATAGTCCCGTAACAATAATAAGGCTAGGTAACTGTCAACATAATGTATCTCAATAAGACTGTTCACTTACATCCTCAGAGTTCGTCCCAGATGAGAGAGAACAGCTGAGGATGAAGTTGTACAGTCGCGTCCTTTGCTTTCCAGTCACATGATCACATATGCAGCTGACCCGATCCATCCGGATAACACCCTACAACTTCAGCTGCCCGTCAGTATTTCTTCTCCAGGATTCGGCATGATGCCACTCTTGCCTCTGAGAGCAGAAAGAGCAAAATCGACTTTGAGGCCTTTGCCATCGAATGGAATCAGACCGCGGATGGAGACCAATGATTCTACATCACCAGTGATGTTCTTGCTGCATACGCAAAGTCTTGGGAAAAGACAAGCAACATACACGCATCTCAGGAACTCATTTCAGATGGAATGAATCTGATATCAGAAACACAGGCTACTTTTGCTGCAGATATGCCTTTCCCCTCGTTTATCACGGAGCCGAATCCATTATCCAATATGGCGCCATCGCAAGCCATGATTGATTCTGTGATGCTTCCACCATCTCTTTCCATGGACCTACCTCTTTCGTATGCATCATATCCATGGACACAGACCGAGAATCCAACGCCAGCGGCCACACAATCTATATCGATATCAGCACCATCAACAGGCTATGTTGCACCCGCTGCTCCCTCAATGAGCATTGAATCACCGTCATATAATGTTCTCTTTACTGCCAGCGATGATGCTGACTCTCACCGAAGAAAACGTCGACGTCGGCAGGTTCCCGCAGGTGATCGCAAGCGTACTAGGTGAGAAGATGCCGCCGATGTCATTCGGAAACATGTCCAGGCAATAGTGATATATTAAATTGCCCTATTCCATGTACCTTGTAGGAAGTGCTTACAGCTCGTAGAGTGTCATGGTGTCGACAACGGTAGAAAATGTGACATTGTAAAATAGTACAAGAATGATCACAGGATTTTCTCCAAATTTCTTTTCTTTCTATTTTTTCCCCCTCCAAACACCCAGTAAAGTGGGGGGAAAACCATATCGCTGGCGGGATGCAATCTACTGTGACGACTTGCTCAAGCACCAGATGTTTGATGGCCAATGTACTGTAGATACGGGTAATCTACGTGCAAAGGAATGAGGGTGCATTAGTCAAGGATATCAGCATGAGCTGATTTTTCAACACTATTACATTCCTCATGTATCTGATGATCAATCTGTGCAGAAACCACACAAGATTCACTTCGCATTTGCGACACAAGTTATATTGACCTGATCATGAGCATCGATACGGATTGATTACTCGTAGAAAGGTTGTCAGTCTAATCTGTGTTGAGTCAACCCCTTTCCAATAAAGCCCTTGCCTGCTCCCACCCCACCCTTTCCCTCTCCTTCCCCATGCCTTCACCCCTCCTAATCTCCTCTCCATCCACCTTCCTCCAATCATCGTACTGCGTAACCACACCCTTCTTCAATCCCTCCAGCACCTCCACCGGCACACCCTCAAGGTCTGGCTCGGGGTTCATCACCTCCTCGATTAAATTTACATTATCCACACCCTCCCCCTCCGGCGTCATCGTCGTATGCACCTCCTTATCACCAGGCAACCAATCCGAAAGTATCGAATCTGCAACTCCGTATGCGTTCATCATCGTCGCGGCTAATACACCCTTTGCGCCAGTCGCAGCCCATCCGGAGGCGTACACGTTTTTCATCTCTTTGTTTCCATCAACGACGCGTCCACCCGGCATCGTCCTCAAATGCTTCAAATCGGAATCATAGAACGGCGCACTTGGTTCCGCGTGGAATCCTAGCGAGGTCACGACGAGACTGGTCTCGACCTCCTCCGTCTGACCCGTCGGCACCGCTCTCCCCGTCTCGCCGTCTACCCTCGTATGCGCCAAACTCAATCTCGCCATGCCCGGACCCTCGCCCTCATGGGGGAGCACGAGCCCCGTGGGTGACCTATAAAAATCCAAAGACCACGTCTTCCGCGTCGTCCCAAACGCATTGTTCGAGCCCTTCCGCAGGAGCTGCAGGATCCTCCCCTGCTGCCTCGTCGTCTCCCTCACGTCCAACACGTCCTCGGGGATCGGCACCATAGCCGCGTCGGGCAGGTTGATCAGCTCCCGCAGCTCTTTCGCGGTGAACGCTGCCTCGAGCGGCCCGCGGCGCCCGAAGATCGAGACGTGTTGGACTTGAGAGCGGCTGAGGACGTCGAGGACGGGTACAGGGACGTCGTATTTTGCGAGGATGGATGGGGGAGTGAGGAGCATGCGCGCGACGTCGAGAGAGACGTTGCCGTTTCCGATCAAGGAGACGTGGGTTGTGCGTTCGAGGGGAGGGGGAGGCGGCGCGGCGGGGTGCTGGGTGTACCAGTGGACGAGGGAGAGAGCAGGCGTGCAGTGGGACGAGGGGGGGAGAGAGGGGTGTAGTGTCGGGAGAGTACAGCCTGTGGCGAAGAGGAGGTGCGAGTAGTTTGAGAAGATGGAGGTTAGTGGTAGCTCGAGAGTGTGTGGTATTGGGGAAGGAGTGGATGGCGACCCGACGTTGACGTTCCCGAAGAATTTGAAGCGCGGGTCGGTCGCCGCTGCGTCGAATTTATGAGTACAGTTCTGGTAGACGGATAACCATGTGATACACCAGAGGAGACCTATAGACGAACCTTGACTTCTGGGTGATCTGGCGCAACACCATAGCGCACGAGCCCATGGGGTGCCCACAGGCGGTCGAACATGTGTATCCGGAGAGAATTCGTTGACCCCGTCGGAACGAGTGAAAGCAGACGCGACGCGACATAAAACGCGGACGGCCCGCCACCTATGATCGCCAGCTTCATGGGCGGCATTTCTAAAAAAAAAGGGGGCAGCACGAAGACTAAGAAAGGCCCGAAGAAAACGAGTCCATCGACGGCAGAGTAGAAATTTAGACGCCCGGAATTGCTGACTAAATAGATGGGAAATGGGCATCAGTCGTATTACTATGATTGGCAACAGAATCAACAGCCCTCTTAGCTCAGTGGTAGAGCGCGTCACTCGTATCTTCAGTACATGACGAGGTCAGTCGTTCAAGTCGGCTAGGGGGCAATTAAAATAAATTTTGATGATTTTGAACCGTGGATGTGAAATTGACCTGCAAATTACTTCGTAACGCTATGAAATAGACGGCTTTGCTTCCACTTGCAAATCCTTTGCACAAAGAGAATTGTATTTTGCAATTCCATCTCAGTTTGTCTTTGCATTGCGAGAGGAGTCCAGGCTCGAACCAACAATACCCATCGATCTAAGTAGCATGGGTTTGGCCACATGACGGCGCGACAGAGCAAAACTTCAAGTCGCCATGGATGTGTCAAAATTTTCAAGCTCTTGAAGCTAAGCCCGGCATCTTCTCGCAATACAAACTTTAGCAGACCTTATAGACCTGTCCCGTTTCATTTCACGCACGTCGCATTGGAATGACTATCACAAGCTTGATTGACCTGATCACTAGAGACTCTATTAACAATTGATTAATGAGCATTATCGTCCATTATTGTGGTAGGAACGACTAGTTTCTCGTACACTGCTGACACCAGAACCTCTTTTTTCCAGAAAAAGTAACAAAGAAATGTGTCATGCCATTTTTGGTGTACATATTTCTGATGGAAAAAGGGTTGAGACAATGAAAAATGCCTTTTTGTTGAGCAAAAAGTTGCCAAAGAAATGGCATGACACATTTCTTTGTTGCTTTTTCCAGTGGAAACAGGTTCTGATGCCAGCAGTGATATCCATTATGATTCATGCTAAGTAGTATCCATGAGTGTCCAGAAACAGAAGAACAAAGTACAATGAAATACTCCTTATTGTCCGTTATTGTGGTAGGAACAACTAAGGGCTGTCACGGTCGTGCAGAGCCTTATGTAAACACTTGACTACTGAACAAGCTGGACCACACATGACCAGTCCGTGCAACAAGCTTGATACCCAAAGTAGACATTACGTATTAATCATCTGCCTTCTCCTTGTGTACATAATTGTAGTCTGTTGTGGCCCACA